CCAGTTTGATGGTGATAAGATTAAGATAATATTTTTACCTGGATTATTGAGCATGAACTTTGATGTTTTGAACCACTTTGGCCATGGCTGCCTCAGAGGAATCGACGGGGGAGAGGGTGGACTCCAGAAACCATTTTATCACCATCAAACTGGATGGTCCACTTTGTGAATGTGATGCTTGTGGGACTTGGTTTGTTGTGACCCCTCGGACTGATGAAGTCCTTTGGATGAAAGACGAAACTTTTCAACAAAGAAAGGAACTCCAGAGGACCTGACTTGACTTTGTTCAGTAAGTGTAACCTTTTGTGGGGAACTGGATTATTAGTGTTGAAAGAGCTGTGAGGATGAGCTCAATGCAGTGATACTGAGAAAAATATCAGCCAGAGCACAAACTGCAAGTTAACACATCTATTTATCAATAGACTGTTCTGTCACTTCATGGGGTCTTAGGTGAGTCAATGAATGGTATCAGTATATGGAACCCTCAGGGCCTTCTAGGCCTTCAGAGAAGGACTAATGCAGCACATATAACACGTTACATTAAAAATCCACAGTGAAATTGTAGTGCCTTTAAAAATGAAAGTTAAACATCCCATTTAAGTTTACATTGATACGTTTCATTATTACAGTTGTGTTTTAGTTTCATCACATGATAAATTATTACAGAAGCATCCAGTTCTGTGAGCTTTTGTTCAATTTCAGTGTGAATGGTTGAAAATACATGTTATACACAAATGCAAGAGACTAGATGAGCCATGTTGCATGCTGGGTAATTTTAGGACAGAAACAGGTGGACTTTTTCAGATCACATGTTCACATGTGTTGTCTGTTGGTTTTCTATTTGGTGTTGTTTGGTATTCATGTTCAGGTTGTTGTTAGTGATTGTAAAATACAATTATTGTATTGTAATTGTACCAGATTTATAAAAAATAAAATAAAAAGGGGGGGGGGCAATTTCCATTCAGCACGTTTCAAACGTGTGAAACTAAAAGTAATTTGATCAGGTCTTGACTCTGTGTCTTTGATCCTTGCATCTTTCAGGCTGCTGCAGTCGCTCTGTACTCACAGTTTGCCGCTGGTTGGCATACAGCCATCTTTGCATATTCAGGTTTGGGCACAGCCTTTAGCTCCACTCTGAGATCTGCACTCTTTCCTCTAACACTGAGCTTTGGTAACCTTTGAATTAAAATCATTTCACAAACTTACATCTGGGAGGCATGACTTGTGTGACATGGAAGAAACAGTAAAATCAACACATTTTGGGCTCAGCTCCTTCACCCTGACAGACTTACACCCAAATTGTCTTTTTGCCGACAAATCCCTGATCTGCCAATCTCTTGTTTCACCTTACCGTTACTCATGGACAGAATATTAATACCGTACTTTCAGACTATAAGACGCACTTAAAATTCTTTAATTATTTTAAAAATCAAACGTGAGCATTATAATCAGGTGCACCTTATGTATTAATTCTGGTTGTACTTATTGACTTCAAACCAATTTTATGTGGTTATTGTGAATGAGTTGAATAAAGTTTGACTTATCTGACTGTTTTGTTTCGCTTTATGCACTTTATAATCTGGTGCGCCTTATTGTCCAAAAAATATGGTACACTTGAACCTTCTCCACTTGAGACTCATCCCCCGCCAGAGAGAGAAATGAATCTCTTTCTGGCTGAGAATCATGGATTTAAATTAAGAGGAGCAGGTAACTACATGTATCCTACATGTGTCCAGTTAACCACTGTTTTTTGTCTGTCCAAACAGGTTTCACTTGTAAATGAGTCTTCGAGGCTCAGTGTGATTTATCTGTTTAAATAAAGGTTGAATGAATGAATAACTCATCTCTGGTAGTGGCATAGCCTACATGTGCTAACAACAGGAAAATGGTTATTTATGCCTTCTCTTGGACCTCTAAGCGAAGCACAATCTGTAAGAATGTGCCCTCCCTCCTGGGGGTTATATTTTAGCTTACTGCTGAAAGGACAGTAAACACCCATGAATCGGTCTGATTAGAGACCGAGACATGTTTAAATTAAAAAATATAGATGTTAGCAGGTGTTAGAGGGTTCTTTGGTGAACTTGAAAAGTTGTTTCAGAATAATAATGTGAAGTTAAAATCATGCCATGCTGAAGTTCAGGTCATTGAAATGAACATTTTGTTTGCATCCTCATCTTGATCTGCTGCCTTTCAATGAAGTTGTTGTTTTTCTTTAGGTTTTTGCACCGCAGTACTTCTCCACTGGGTTACTGAACACCTTTTGTTTTACTCTGACTAGATATTAGCTTTTTCCAGTCAGAATGAACCTATTGCTACAAAATGTAGGTGTTACAGTATAGCTGATAAGATACTGACAATTCATATCCTTGCTGCAGAACCTCACTTCTAAAACAAACTATTCCATTAAATAGGGGCGGCTGTGGCTAAGTGGTTAGAGCAGTCGTCCTCCAATGCAAGAGTTGGGGGTTTGATTCTACCAGCAGTCACATGTTGAAGTGTCCCTGGGCAAGACACTGAACCCCTCATTGCCTCCGATGTGTGTCCCATCAGTGTATGAATGTGATAAACCACTGATTAGACTTTGTATAGATCTAGTAGAGTGCTGTATGAATGGGTAAATAAGGGCACAGATTGTAAAGTGCTTTGAGTATCCTGATAAGATAGAAAGGTGCTATGTAAGTACAGTCAATTTACCATTTAATTATCCTCTACAGTATTTAAAAACTTGTGGATATGCCCAGTATGTCTGTCTTAGAATCTTTTGTTTTTTCCTGTGAACATCTATCCACTTGTCATACTGTTCCCCTTCTTTTAAGCCATTTTGTAATGCTATCAAGATAAAACAGACAACAAATTAATAAAAAAAAAAATGCTCAAACACTGCTTTAATCATGAATGGATTCACCAGCACCAGTTTGAAAAGCATCAAATGTATCATGCTGTATGAAAACAATCACAAAGTAAAGATTTGGAACCACTGAACTCATGCAATGTCCACCAACTGGATCAAAAAATGCAATTTACAACGAGTGTTATTGCCAAATACGCATTGCCTTTAACTATCCAGTCCGGTGTTGTCAAGACATTTGGATATTTGATCTGACCAAATATTGTTGCCTGCTATTGGGTTCAGTTTATTTTTTTAAGTCTCATTAAAGCAGTTTTTGAGCTGGATATGAAAAAGTAACTAAATAGATAATAGAGGATGCATGCATCAGGATAAATAGATAATAGATCCCAGCATGCATCAGGAT